CACTGCCAGGAGGCTCCTCTAAAAAGAAGTCAAATTCCTCAGCTTTGCAACTAAGCAATGCTAATCAACATTTCCAATGGAATTTCTCTTTTTTGCTACATGTCACTACCCAGCATGGGTGAGCCTAGCACACTCAAGCTCTCTGATGGCAGAGGCCTTAAGGAGCTCTGTTCTCCTTAAGACATTCAGGGCCTGGTAATCGCACAATACTTGCCTCTGCCCGTGAAAGGATGCACCTTCCTTAAATGCCTCCGGCTCCTCATGCTTCCACGCCTTTGCACAAACTGTTCCCTGTGCCCAGAATAGCCTTCTGACTTGCCTACTGAGGGAGCTCTCCTTCCACTCCCCCCGCCTGTGCATCTCCCGATCTGTTCTCAGGGCCGGTGCAGAAAATCACTCCCAGGGGGGCTCAGAGGACCTATTCTCTTGACTGGAGGGATTAGGGATGGAATGATCTATATGTTGAATTTTGCTTATAGGCCAAGCACACTTTAGACCACCTTAGAGATTCAGAGGGCATAGAGAAGGTCCCCTTCCTCTGCCTTGAACACCCAAAGCTCTTTCTCTCATGTTCTCAGTTCCCACATTCCTACCCTCTCCCTCGTGAGAGTCACACTAAAAGGAACATGTCAGTGTTGTGTAATATTTTATATACCACCTGTGACACATTTCATTCATTTAAAAAAAAAGGTTTTCTTTTTCAGGGCTGGAACAAATAATACAGTGGGTAGGGCATTTGCCTTGCATGCAGTCGACCTGGGATTGATCCCCAACATCACTTATGGTCCCTCGAGCCCCACCAGGAGTAATTACTGAGTGCGGAGCCAGGAGTAACCCCTGTGCATGCAGGGTGTGGCCCCAAAGTAAAAAAGAAATCTGTTGTGGTTTTTATTTGACCTTGTTTTCATCTTTCTCCCCCCTTTCTCCGCTTGTATTGTTGTACTTATTGGGAGTCTCACACACTTGGTTCTGATGCCCCAGATCTTTTAGTTGCAGTAGGTGCGTGCACATCGTGTGTGCATGAGTGTGATAGAGATAGAGATAGAGATCACTCTGTGTGCTATGTGAGTGTATGAATGTGTTGTAGAGATCAGTCTGTGCAGTGTGTATGCGTATGTGCATATGTGATATAGATCACTCTGTGCAGTGTGTGTGTGCCTGTGTGTCAGAGGTCACTCTGCAGTGTGTGTGTATGTGGTAGTAGAGTCACTCTGTGCAGTGTGTGTGCATGTATGTTAGAGGTCACTCTGTGCATTGTGTGTGTATGTGTAGTAGAGTCACCCTGTGCAGTGTCTGTGTATGTGTGTGTATGTGCAGTAGAGTCACTCTGCAGTGTGTATGTGTGCGCATGTATGTTAGAGGTCACTCTGTGCAGTGTGTGTGCATGTGTATTAGAGGTCACTCTGTGCAGTGTATGTGTGTGTGTGTGTGTGTGTGTGCGCGCGCGCGCGTGGGCACTAGAGATCACTGTGCAGTGCGTGTATGCATGAGTGCATGTGTGATAGAGATCACTCTGTGCGGTGTCTGTGTGTGCATGTGTGGTAGAGGTCACCCTGTGCAATGTGTGTGTGCATGTGTATTAGAGGTCAGTCTCTGCAGTGTGTGTGTGTGCATGAGTATTAGAGATCACTCTGTGCAGTGTGCATGTGCATGCGTGTTAGAGGTCATCCTGTGCAGCGTGTATGTGCATGTGTGTTAGAGATCACTTTGTGCAATGTGTGTGTATGTGTGCATGTGTGTTAGAGGTCTGTGCAGTGTGTGTGTGTGTGTGTGCGCGCGCATGTGTGGTAGAGGTCACTCTGTGCAGCGTGCGTGCATATGTGAGATCACTCTATATAGTGGGGGCACCAAGCATCAGAATCCAGGCTTTTGGAGTTGCTTTTGCCACTGAGTCACCCCCTGGTCCCCCATCTTGTGTCCTTGCACAGTGCCACCGGCTGATGTGTATCTCTGAGGGCTCTTGGTTTGTCCCACATCTATTTCTTTGGCTGATTAAAGTCTATTTCTTTGGCTGATTAAAGTCAATGTCCTGAAGAGTTTTGTTGAATGAATAGAGACTGTGTAAGACTACAAGAAAACCATGCTGCCTATCCCTTGCTACTTAGAAGTGAGGAAACGATAAAATCCTTAATCCTTTGTCTTCTTCCCACTTTCTCCACAGAACCCAGGCCTCCATTTACAGAATCTTCCTCCCCTCTTGGCACAGAAACCTGTTCTGAGGGAACTGGATGGGCGATGGGAAACTTACTGACTAGCCTAACTCCAATCCTGTTTTCCTCCTGCACCTTCTAATTTGGCACCTTCCTTGCAGCCTCCAGGGAGGAGACGAAAGGCTTTCCAAGTAGCTGCAAAAGAAAGATGCTGAGGTCTTACCTGGGATTTTCTCCTGAGGTAGCCTTGGAGGTAGAAAACAGTCCAACTGGTTTCTTTGTGTTACTCATACCTTATAGAGTGAGGAACCAGTTTCTTGCCTTTGTGATTTATTTTTTTACAGCACTAAAAATTACAGTCAACAACATTAGAACATTTTTTGACTACTGAGGAAACATTTTTATTGTGTTTTTAGCAATAGCAGTAGAGTTTACTCCTAGGAAAATGACTCCCAATAACATTACCACATTGTTTGTGTTCATAAAAACCCTAAACAACGCATGTGAGAATAGAGGGCCTATAAAATGTTAACTGTTTTTTTCTGGAAAAGTATGATGTTTTTTCTTGGAATGAGATTGGGTCTGGCCTCCAGGGATGGGTGTGAGCCCCACAAAACTCGACTGTGCCTGCAGAGACTTGGGAGACTGAGAGGAAGACTGTGGATTGCATCTACAAAAAGACTGATAAGGGTGCTGGGTTGGATATGACAGTCCCGTCCTAAAATTCATCTTCTTTTTAATATTTATTTTGGGGGAGGAGTAGGGGTCATACCTAGTGATTCCCAGGGGATATTCCTAGCTTGATGCTCAGTATTTAAGTGACCATACATGGTGCCAGGGATGGAACTGGGGTTGGCTGTACACAAGGCAAGTGCTTTCATCTTTGCCTAAAATTCAGTTGAGCACAAAGAATAGATTTACCAACAAGTAAGCAGAACACAGTGACTGGACTTCTCTAGAGTGTGAAGTGGGAAAGACGAAGTTATCAAAAGAAGTATGATCTGAAGCTGGACCTCAACAAAAGCCTGAACTTGCCACCAGATCAGCCCAGCACCTGTGGGGTTTGTAGCTGGGAGAGAGAAAAACTCTGGATAAGGAGACAGTGCAGGAGACACTTGGAATGCCTAGGGTGATGAAAGGGTTTAAAATAGAACAGATGCTAAGAGCTGGGAGATGGGAATAGGTAAAATAGTTGGAGGCAAAACTGCCTGAGTTCAGAAAATTGTTGATAAGAGGGGAGGCCAAATCAAGAACATGCCAGGTTTTGGGTTTGGGGATTAAAAGGATGAAAGAGAAGTATGAGAATTTCCCAGACAGCTGGACTGTTGGCATCTCCGTGGAGATGGGGAGTTTGAGTAGCTGTCTCCAGTTTGCCTTGTAAGTGTGCAAGTTCCAGGGCACTTTCAGGCCCTTCTGGCTGTGGATCACAGGCAGCAGAACAGTCCTGCTGTCTTGGGGGCATAAGGTAGAGCATGTCAGAGACTGTCCTACATTGTTTGGGGTCCAAATCATCACTGTGTGTGCGTGTGTGTCTGCTCAGGAGGCAGATAAATCTGACAAGACTAGGATGTCAGGACAAAGGAAAAAGCTGGAGTTGGATGCAGAATCCTTTGCATTTAAAATTGCAAATAAGATCAGATTCTAGAAATATTTGATTTGGAATTATGATTATGATTAAGGCTGTCACAGGAGTTCTTTGCCCATTCTGTTTCCCCCTCCCCGGCTCTTTCCATTTTGGTTGAGAATGCAGACTAGGTCCCATGTTAACAATAAGAGCTGACCAGAGAATCCACACATAATTTCAGATAATGAGAACCAACAGACAAAAGTCAAGCAAGACAAAGGAAAGTGGTGGGGACATGGGCAGGGCTGGACAACTATTTAAAGGGGTTCAAGAAAAGGCTGCTTTGAAAAATTGGCATTTGAGGGGAGACCTGAGGGCTGCAGGGGTCTACACCTAGAGAGGGAGGCGGGACAGCAGGGAGAGAACCGGTGTCAACACAGAAGCCAAAGGAACCAGTCGGGATGGGAGATGTGTGCTGAAAGTAGATAAAGGACCAAACATGATAACCTCTCAGTGTCTGTATCACAAACCATAATGCCCCAAAGTAGAGAGAGATTACGCCGAATATTGTCTGCCATGGAGGCAGGGGGAGGGTGGCAAAGGGGGGGGTATACTGGGGATATTGGGGGTGGGGAATGTGCACTGGTGGAGGGATGGGTGTTTGATCATTGTGTGATTGTAACTCAAACATAAAATATGGAATCGGTGTTCTGCAGCTTGATGTCTGAAGTATGGTGAGATTAACTATCTCACGGTGATTCAATTAAAAAAAAACAGAAGCCAAGTCTGGGACATCCACGTGGAAGCATCACGAAGGTACATGATGCACAGGTCCGGGGGAGTGGGTGCCCGAGGTGGGGTGAGAACTCGAGGTCCATCCAGCTCTGCTCCCCGGTCCCTGTGCCTCTCGCTTCCACCAAGCCAGCCAGGCGGTGCAGCAGACCCCGGCCAGTCGACCTGAGCGGACACTCTGGGCGAAGTTCTCCAACTCGGAAGAGGTAAGGCAGCGCCCCAGAGAGCAGGGAGTGCGGAGGTGGCATCGGCAAGACAGCGCCAAGGCAGCACCCTGACGGCGGAGCCGCTGCGGAGTCGGAGTGTGAGCGCGAAGCGCCCCCTGCAGGCCGCGGCGTAGGCATACCGGTCACCTCCGCTTCCCCAGGTGCTCCCTCGAGGAGGGAGTGTCCGTGTCTGCGCAGCAAGACCGTCAATAAAGTTTTTCTTGTTCTCCCTTCTCGGCTTCTTCACGTCTCTCCTCGAGTCTCGCGAGAGCGGAAGTCGCGGCTACCATGGCGGCCGCACTTGAAACGGCAGCGGCCGCCGATCCCGCGGAGCCCGTTACTGAGGCGGCGGGGACCGAAGCCGCCCCGGGAGCGGCGCGGAGCCTGCGGACGGCTCACGACCTCGGCGGTCCGCGGACCCGCACGGGCGACGTGCTGCTGGCGGAGCCGGCCGACTTCGGGTCGCTGCTGCTGTCGCGGCCGGTGCTGGACGGGCTGCGGGAGGCGGGCTTCGAGAGGCCCTCCCCGGTGCAGCTCAAGGCCATCCCGCTGGGCCGCTGCGGGCTCGGTGAGGGCGGCGGGGGGCCCGGAGGCAGGGGGCGAGGGGCGGGGCCCCGGGGCCGGCGGGAGGGGCCGGGAGGCCCGGGGAGCCGGCCGGTGGGAGGACGGGGAGGGTCCAGGGAGGACCAGGAGGGTTGGAGAGGGCGGGAGGGGGGGGGGGGGAACGGGAGGATTCTGGGAGGACCCTGGCGCTCTGCACTCCCTAGCCTCAGTTAGTTTCCTCCTTTGCCAAACCGAGGTTCGGGCTCCAAGTTCAGTGGCAGGGCCAGCCCCGACACTGGTGAGGAGTTTTGGACGGTGCACACGGGAGAGGGTCGGGACCCCGATGTGTGTCTTTCCGGTGTATCCCCCTCGTTACTGGCTAAGAATACTGTGCCTCTCGCCTCCCCACCCCTCCCCAGATTTAATCGTTCAAGCCAAGTCCGGGACCGGGAAAACCTGTGTATTCTCCACCATTGCTTTGGACACCCTAATTCTGGAAAACTTAAGTACTCAGGTGAGTTGGAACTCGCTAGCCCCCGGAGGCTCGGGCGCCACGTGGCCCGGATTTCCGTGGGTCATGCAGTGAACCCAGTAGTTCCAGGGACAGAGAGCTTGAGGACTCAGAACATGCTTCCGAGCAGAGGACAGGGTGGTTGAGTTGTTGGTGACCAGAGGATACGGGATTACTGTTAGAAGAATGGCATTTCAATAGAACACCTCCCCGGTGCCAGTTTTGTCACTGCTCAGATCTGGAAGCAGATGTGGAATCGGTGTTCTGCAGCTCGATGTCTGAAGTATGGTGAGATTGAGCACTCGGCTGCGGTCATTATAATGTGGAGCTCTGGCTGTTCTTGGTAGCTGGAGGGGGTTTTAGTGCATCGTGTCATAAGTCAAGGATCTTAGCCAAATTAACACCAAAATCAACCAGATATATGGGCTTGGGGTTCATTCCTTCAGTAAATGGATGTTAGGAGCCTACTCTTGGCTCATTGGTTTCGAGTTTATTACTGTCTTCGAGGCTCCAGGCCTTGAGTTCAAACCTGGGCCATCTGCATGTGCAAAGGCCCCCCTGACACTGCTGGGAGCCCAGGGACGGGAAGGAAACATGCAGGTTGGGGGAAACCCAAGTAATTACTGAGGCCTATTATATATAAACATCCAAGCACTGCAAGCACTGGAGATGAAAAGGTGAATCAATCCAATCCTCACAGGCTGTGATTTTGTAATTAAGAGGCTGTCAGTAATGGGCATAAAAATGATTGGCAGGAGCGATAGCACAACGGGTAGGGCATTTGCCTTTGCACGCAGCCTACCCGGGTTCGATTCCTCCGTCCATCTCGGAGAACCCAGTAAGCTACCGAGAGTATCCTGCCCGCATGGCAGAGACTGGCAAGCTCCCCATGACGTATTCGATATGCCAAGAACAGTAACAAGTCTCACAATGGAGATATTACTGGTGCCCACTTGAACAACGGGAGGATAGTACTACAGTAGTGATTTTTAACCCAGATGCCCCTGTTATTGTAAAGTCTTTTTAAGTCTTGGATAATGCGAACTTAGGAAATCCTTTGCCAAGGACCTGGGCTATTCCACGTGTGAGTTGAGGTACATTAGGGATTTTGACTTAAGACAATTTGGCAGCAAGTCAAAAACACACCTTGACTAACTTGCACTGCACTGCACTGCCCTCCCGTTTTTCATCGATTTGCTTGAGCGGGCCTAATAACATCTCCATTGTGAGACTTTGTTGTTACTGTGTTTTGGCATATTGACTACGTCACATAGCTTGCCAGGCTCTGCTGTGCAGGCAAGATACTCTCAGTAGTTTGCCAGGCTCTCTGAGAGGGGCGAAAGAATCGAACTCAGGTCGGCCACGTGCAAGGCAAACGCCCTACCGCTGTGCTATTGCTCCTGAAAAAATTAAAAATGTAAGGTTTTGGGACTGGGAGATGATACAGCGGTTAGGGACCATGTGCCTGACCCATGTTGATCCTGGTGCCACAGGGCCTTTGACCCACCACCCAGATGGCCTAGTCATCTTTGGCAGAGCACCGTGTCCTCAGGCCTGAGCACTAAACTGCTGGCCTGGTTAAGTGCTTACCTTGCAGAGAGAGGTGCCCCCACTCTCCCACATCTAGTGTGGCCCTTCCTTGGGCCAGAGGCTCCTATTTTTTTTTTTAAAGTGTCATGGGGGTACGGTTAACTGTGGACTCTTCCAGCAATTTGTATGTTACCAGGAACATAGTAGGTTCTTTTGGGCGACCAGAGGGAATGTTTGGACCAAGCCCACAAGTGCAAGGGTGGCTATTCCTGGCTCTGTGCTTAGGAATGACTCCTGGCAGTGCTTGGGGGACTCTATGAAGCAGGGGATTTGAGTAGAGGCAGTGGGATGCAAGGCAACGCCTTAATCTCTAGTTCTGTTTCTTTAGCCCTCTTCGATGGTTCTTTCTTTTTAAAAAAATTTTCATAAAGTTGTTCACACCGATGGATTATGTTCAGTATTTTGACATCAGTCCCCACCACCATTACACCTTCCCACCACCATTATTTTGAATTTTCCCGCCACCACTCAAACCTGCCGAAAAGGCATATGCTAGATAATTTATTTTGTATTACTTGTTATGAATAGCATAAGATGTTGTGTGGTTGCAAGAGTGGCCATGCACTCCTGGAATTCTAAAATTTTAGATAATTTGGGTTTGGAGAAATCTCTGCAGCAAGCTGCTTGGTTCTGAGATTCTTTGTGTGTCTCTGGATCATGGCCATTAAGGAGCTCAAATAGAGCTGGAAGCAGTGGGTGTGACCTCCAGGGTCTCAGGGACTGGGACATGAGAAGGACTGGCCCATCCCCTATCCCTTGAGGCATGGAGTTTGCCATCACTGATCCCACCTACCTGGGCTTCTTACTGGGTTCTGGAGGTTGGCTGCTGCTGGGATTCCTAGGGGGCAGGTGGAGGGACACCGCCTGCTCCTGTCTGAGGCACCCTGCTGAGATCAGTGGCTTAAAGTCCGGAGGCATCTCTGCACTGAGCTGCTCGATTCTGAGATTTTTTTGTGTGTCTCTGGATCATAGCTGTTAAGAAGTTCCGATGGTTAATTATTGAAAACAAGAATGAATGGAATAATTTTTCTTGACGGTAAAGACTTGTTACTTAACATGATCATTTACACAAGAAATTGTTCACTGTGTAACCAAACCAGTTAGCCAATTGCATGTGTTTAGTCTTCTGGTTCATTAAAGATGCTTCATGTTTGTTTTTTTTTTAGATTTTGATCCTGGCTCCTACGAGAGAAATTGCTGTACAGATACATTCTGTTATCACAAGTATTGGAATCAAAATGGAGGGCTTAGAGTGTCATGTCTTTATTGGAGGGACTCCATTATCACAAGACAAAACCAAACTTAAAAAGTGCCATATTGCTGTTGGATCTCCTGGTAAGAATCAGTGTGGTGCCAGTTCTTGGTATTCCCTGTTGTCCCCTGAGCCTTGCCAGGAGTGACCCCTTAGCGCAGAGCCAGGAGTAATCCCTGAACACTGCCAGGTATCACCCAGAAACCAAAATAAATAAATAAATAGAGAGAGAGAGAAGGAAGGAAAAAAGTCATGTTTATTCATAATTTAGATCTCTAACTGAACACTTTTTATTATTTTGTATTGCTTCTGAGTTTTGATTCTGTAGCTTCAAACTTGTAAGCTGGCTGACTCTATAGCAACTGAGCACCTTCAGTGTGCTGAGAAGAATATGGGACATTTTGCTAACTGTGGTAATTATTTTGTGGATTAGACATGAAGAGCCTTATATGAAGAGATGGGACACGTTGGATTTTTAGCAGAATAACAAAGGGTTTTAGGAACAAGAATGGGATTGGTTTCAAAGAAGAAGAATGAGATGGCTTTGCTTCTGTTAGTCATTCAGTCATGGATCAACACTTTCTGGAACTCTTGACAAGAGTGCCTATTTTTCCATACTTATGAGCTGTGAAAATGATAATGGAATTCAGCTAGATCTGAACGCTAATTTTAGTGGTTTAGTGTATAAATGTATAATGAAGCTTGGATTAGGACTTGGGCAGTCGGTGGGTGAATAATAATCAATGAGATTTATCTGCACTTCTTTGGTTCATCACAAATTTTAATTTTCCCCCCCTGCAATTCAGGCAGAATTAAACAACTGATAGAACTTGACTACTTGAACCCACGCAGTATCCGTCTCTTTATTCTTGATGAAGCAGATAAGCTTTTAGAAGAAGGCAGTTTCCAGGAGCAAATAAAGTAAGAAAAGTTACCAACTTGCCTGGTAAAGTGGTGTGCAAAGTTGTGAATCTTTAGCTTTTCCAGGTGGATAATTTACTGTCTGAATGATTTCCATGATATATTTTTATTGTTTTTTTTTGCAGTTGGATTTACTCTTCTTTGCCTGCCAGTAAACAGATGTTGGCAGTATCAGCTACTTACCCTGAAATTTTGGCAAATGCATTGACAAAATACATGCGAGAGCCCACTTTTGTGAGACTAAATTCCAGTGATCCGAGTCTCATAGGTGTGTGCTGATGATCAGATACTGAACACGTATGGCTTCTTTGTGCTCCTTTGAAGTGTTGCTTTGCTCAGTTGGTTATAGCTTTGTGTTTGCTATTAGAGTATAGCAAATATATATATGTTTTAAGCAACTCTTTTGACTTTTGTAGGTTTAAAGCAATATTACAAAGTTGTCAGTTCCTACCCTTTGGCACATAAGATTTTTGAGGAAAAGAGTCAGCATTTACTAGAACTGTTCAGCAGAATTCCATTCAATCAAGCTTTAGTCTTTTCCAATTTGCACAGCAGGTAAGGGCCCTTACGAGGCCATGTGGGAAATATGTGCATTACTGACTGTGTGGGGCAACAGGGCAACAGTTGTAAAATGATAACCCTCTGCTCCACAGAGCACAGCATTTGGCTGATGTCCTTTCTTCCAAAGGTTTTCCTGCCGAGTGCATCTCAGGTAAGGCCATCTCTCACTTTAGTCTTCATTTAGAATGCTGATTTGTTAGAAGGAAATGAAACAACACTTCATTAGTTACCTTGTTATTGTGACGTTTCACAAACCAGTGCTGCAGAGCGAGGGAAATTTGAGGTTTATTTTTCATTGGGACTTGATCCAGAAGTAACGACATGTAATTAAAATTTTCAAAGTTGGAGTTATATCCACAGAGAATTTAATTTTATAAAGTTAAGTTTGACTTCTGAGGAAAGCGTATTACTTCATTTCATAGTCATTATTAAAATGCTGAGCGTAGCTAACTGGGCAAATATGATTCATTTTTGATGCAAAGCTAAAGTATTACTGCTAGCCTACTCGGAATGAAAGAGTTAATTGAATTTCTGATAAGTGAAGATCCTTTTTTTTTGAGTTTTGATTAATAGGTAAATCCCACCAGCTTAAACATTTTTACTCATGGTTTGTCCTATATTGAGGGTTAACTGGTTTTTGACAAATCAGCATTTTGGTTACAGATTTCACACCTATTTTCCAAAAGCTGACTGAAGCAATTTTCCCCCCTAAGAGTTATGTCTTGTGTAACTTTGAATGCAGTGTTCAGTGTTATTTCTGAAGCTATAACAGAGTCTATTTAAGATAGATTTTAAGAATAATTTTTTAAATTTTTTTATTGAATCACCATGAGATATAGTTACAAAACGTTCATAATTTTGCCATACTATGATCAAACACCCATCCCTCCACCAATGTACATTTTCCACCACCAATGTCCCTAGTATCCCTACTGTCACCCCCACCCAACCCACCTCCTGACTCTGGCAAAAAATTTTCTTCTTACTCCCTACTTTTGAGCATTATTGTTTGCAATACGGATACTGAGAGGCCATCATGTTTGGTTCCTTTATCTACTTTCAGCACACATGTCCCATCCCGAGTGATCCCGCCAACCATCATTGACTTAGTGGTCCCTTCTCTATCCTAGATGCCTTCTCCCTCATGGGGCAGGCTTTTAACCGTGGAGCAATCTTCCTGGCCCTTGTTGCTAATGTCCTTAGGTGTTAGTCTCATGTTATTCTATATTCCACAAATGGGTGCAGTCATTCTATGTCTCTCCCTCTCTTTCTGATTCATTTCACTTAGCAAGATACTCTCCATGTCCACTTACAAGCATGACTTAATCTTTCCTAACAGCTGCATAGCATTCCATTCTGTAGGTGTACATAGTTTCTTTAACCATTCGTGTGTTCTCAGGCTCTCCGGTTGTTTCCAGATTTTGGCTATTGTGAACAATGCTGCAAAGAACATACAGTGCAGGTGCCGGTTCTACTTTGCTTTTTTGCACCTCCAGGGTATATTCCCAGAAACCTCAATTTCTAGGTTTTTTGAGGAATACCCACATTGCTTTTCAGAAAGGCTGGACCAGTCAGCAATCCCACCAACAATGACAGTCCCTTTCTTCCTGCATCCACGCCAGCGCAGGTTGTTCTTGTTCTTGCTCTTTTTGATGTATACCAGTACTATGGTGTGAGATGGTATCTCATTGTTGTATTGATTTGCATCTCCCTGATGATGAGTGACGTGGGGCATTTTTTCATGTGCCTTTTGGCTGTTTGTATTTCTTTTCTTGAGGAAGTTTCTGTTAATTTCTTCTCCCCATTTTTTGATGGGGTTTATAAAATAGATTTTTGAGGGTTAAGGAAAATGACTCAAAGGCCTGGAGCCCTGAGAGTTGATTCCTGGCTCTACATGGTTCCCCGGGCACTCTTGGAGTAGTCCCTGAGCACTGTTGGGTCTGGCCTGAAAACACAAGTGGGTTTTGAGTGCTGGGCTGATTGCTCAGAAGACTGGGGCACATGCTTGGTGTGTGGAGGCTCCGGAGTTTTGATTCCTAGAACTGCATGGCTCCTGCCTGAGCATTTCTGGGAGCACTTTTCCCACCAAATGATTTTTGAATTTAAAATTTATTGCCTAACCCTATTTTAAGAGATTCTGAGTTTTGTTCTTAACCTGGATTGGCATGTAATAAAAGAATTAATAAATAAAATAAAAGAACTTTAGTTGTCTTGGTGATTCAATAAAAAATTTTTGAAAAAGAATTAGCTTCAGTTGGTATTTGAAATGTTATGACTGACAACTATGGTTTTTGGCTTTTTAATCGGTGAAGTATATCACTGCTTTTCATATGACTTTCTTTCTGGGTCTTTTTAGGCAGCATGAATCAGAATCAACGTCTTGATGCGATGGCCAAACTAAAGCAGTTTCATTGCAGAGTCCTTATTTCCACAGATTTGGTAAATTTTCTGTCGATTTTGGGTGTCTAGTCCATCTTGACATATGTTCTGTTATCAGATGTACAGATTTCATCTAATATTTTGGAATTGTCTAAGAATACCAGAACATGATCATCTTTCATGGGGAATGTGCCTTCTTAAAAATGCCTTTTATAGTTTTATCTTACTTCCTAAAGTTATTGGGAATAGATTTTCTATTCCTTGGCTTCTAAACAACCTTCTTGCTCCTAAGTATCTTTCTGTTCTTTTTTCTTTTTTTTTTTTTTTTTGCTTTTTGGGTCACACCCGGTAATTCACAGGGGTTACTCCTGGCTCTGCACTCAGGAATTACCCCTGGCAGTGCTCAGGGGACCATATGGGATACTGGGATACTGGGAATCGAACCCGGGTCGGCTGCGTACAAGGCAAACGCCTTACCCACTATGCTATTGCTCCAGCCCCAGTATCTTTCTGTTCTTAATTTGGCTTTGATTATACTACAGTTTGGATTGGTAGCCATGCCACAATTAATGCAAGCCAACAGTTGCTCTTTTCTTCAATTTAAGACTTCGCGTGGGATTGATGCTGAAAAGGTCAATCTGGTGGTAAACCTGGATGTACCAGTGGACTGGGAGACATACATGCATCGGATCGGCAGAGCTGGCCGTTTTGGTAAAGTGGCATTTCCCCTTCTCTTCCCTTCTTGCTTTGGATGACCAGGGTTACACATTTGTTCAGGTGCTGCCCTGCTCTCACAGGACTTGCTGTGGGTTGTGCTTCTGTCTGCAGTACCTGTCCATCTGTTCTTACAGGAACTCTGGGACCACACACACTTCTGGGACACCAGGGCTCCCAGGTAGTTAGTTGAGCTTCTAGGACCCACTGGCTACCTGTGTGCGGCCCTGGGATTCTAATTCATGCACTTCCCAGCCACTGAGCAATCCAGAGTCTGGTGTTGTCGTTGCCTGACACCCCCTCCCCCTGACATTTCTGGGATAGAACTTGTAGGTTTTTAGATTTTTTTTTCCCTTTTATGGTGCTAATCATTGAATCCCAAGCCCCCCCCCCCCCCCCCCCGCCAAACACACACACTCTACCTCTGTACTTCTGAGCCATATCCCCAGCACTGGATTCTTTGGGTGGGGGTGTAGGCTGGGGCAGCAGGGGTGAGAGGGGTCAGTGTCTGGATTTTTGGGCCCAGACCCAGGATGCTCAGAGATTACTCCTGGCTCTGCACTCAGGAATTAATCCTGGCAGGGCTCGGGACTATATTGGGTACCACGGATCGAACCCTAGTTGTCTTGCATGCAAAACAAGCACCCTGCCCCTTACTTGCTGTACTATCTCTCCAACTCCAAATCCAGCCCTGGATCCTTAAAGGGGAGGAATTGGTAATATGACAGATGGACTCGCAGTATTACTTATGTGAAGATGACTTACTATTAATCATTTCCTTTGTGCTTTAGGTACTTTGGGGCTGACAGTGACCTACTGTTGTCGAGGAGAGGAAGAAAATATGATGATGAAAATTGCCCAGAAGTGTAATATCAATCTTCTCCCTTTACCAGGTATATTTGATGTACTTCTTCTTCTGTCAGAGTAATACTGCTAATGATGATAGATCAGGAAATGATGACATCTAACACAGAGTACTTCACATGTGTCCAGTACTGTTCCAAGGACTTAATGCATTTAATTCTCACTATAATTCTCTGAAGCATGCTGTCATTAACTACTTTTTATACATGAGGACATTGAGGCATTAAGTAATTTGCCTAAAGTCTTAATAAGTTGCCTAAAGTTTTAATAAGTTGCAAGAGAATATTGCAAGCTTGGCACATGAAAAATATTTTGCTGAGTGCCAGAGCGATAATATAGTAGGTAGGGTGTCTCCCTTGCACGCGGCTGACCTGGGTTTGGTCCCTGATCTTATATGATCCTCGAGCACTGTCAGGAGTACCCCTGAGCAACACAGGGTGTGGCCTCTCCCCAGAAAATATTTTGCTGCTGTGTATTCATTGTTTAGCTTGTGGCCTTGTTTTATTCTTTTGTTGTTGTTTTGGGATACACCTGTCAATGCTCAGGGGTTATTCCTTGCTTAGTGCTTAGGAGACCACATGGGATGCCAGGGACTAAATCCAGGTCAATTGTGTGCCAAGCAAGTGCCTTACCTGCTATACGATCTCCCTGAGGCCCTCCTGATTTTATTCTTTTTGTTTTTACTTTTACGTCTCTTTTTTTGTGCATAGAAGGGAAAATAAGTCTCTTACGTTGCTAATCTCCTTTGTCACCATGGAGAAGGAAGAGTATCTTCAGTTTGAACATTAATTTGAAAAATTGGAAGGACTGGATTTAGTGAAGTCAAACTCCTGGGCTTTTTTTGGGCTACACCCGGAGATGCTTACGTTACTCCTGGCTCTTCACTCAGGAGTCACTCCTGGTGGTGCTCTGGGGACCAAACTGGGATGGCCATGTGCCAGGCCAGTGTTGGCATATCTACTGTACTGTCACTCCCACCCCTCAAACTATTGTTTTAAAGTGCAATCTAGAGGAATGCTTGTTCAAAATTTAATGATCTCTTGAAAACAAAAAATCCCCCAAGTGCTCTTGTGTGGAAATAGGGTTTATTTGTAGCTTTGCAGATGTTAAGGTGTTCATGGCAATATACGTGTGTGTGTGTGTGTGTGTGTGTGTGTGTGTGTGTGTAAAATGTATATGTACATGAGCTTATGTAAATCACACAAATATTGGCCATGTAGAATATGAGATACAGTGTCACTGAGGAAATGAGTATTTTACCATCTTATATTTAATTCTGTAAGTGATATTTTTGCAGAGCTCTTTTAAGCACAAATCTTAGGTTAAGACTTTACAGTAGCATCTAATACAAAATTTTTATTTTATTTGTATGGATACTGGAAAAGACATTACATTTTAGGTAAGGTTAGCAGGACTAGAACTTGTGTAACTTACTCATTAAGTTACCTGGGGCAGAACTTGGAGGGAAATTGGATTGGCATTGGCAGGCAAGGGCCATCCCCTTAGTAGGAATCAGAGTTTTAGTCACAGTGTTGGTTGATTAAAAATCAAGAGCTCTAATGGAAGAATCCAGATTCAAGGATTAGTTGTCTGTACAGATAAATGAACATTTGTGACATCTGTAGAGAACTCTATCTTTTCTGCCTGTGATGAAAATTGATTACTTTTTGTGTGAATCTAAGTGACTGCAAATTCTCATCCCTGAATAGAAAGAGAGCAGGATTATTGACGTATTTTATTTATAACTTATCTCTTTGGTGCCAAGTTCCTTTTGATAAAGTCACCAGCTGTTTCCCCTCTCACAGTTTTCTCTCCACCTTTGTTTCCCTGTCGGAGTATAGTGGCAAATTTTTGTGATTATGAAGTTATATTATTTCCCCATTGGTAAATTTGGGGGAGCAGTACATTTTCTAATACTGTGAGTAAAGGGGTGGAATTAAGAGAGAAGAGGGAATTATTGCAGACTTCAGTGTTACTTAGATTTAAGCTCTTTCCAAGTATGTTTGGCAGTGGTGGTGGTTATTACTTGTTAGTATGAGATCTAAAATATTTTGCCACGGATTTCTTTATTATTGGTCTTTTAAAGAACTAATATTTTTTAAGTTGCAGTATATCAGTAGTATATTTTGCTTCTTATTTTATCATCCAAAACTTTATGAAAACCGTTCAGGAAATGCTGGTTTAGAGTAGCTTGAGAATTTTAATACTTTCATTTTCTTTTTTTTTAATGTAGATCCCATTCCTCCTGGTCTGATGGAAGAATGTTTGGATTGTGATGTGGAGGTTAAAGCTGCCATCCATACTCATGATTTAACAAGTGTGCCTATCCAGCCCCTAAAAAAGCAAATTCAAAAGATAGAAAAAAATGATCAGACTCAGAAAACTCAGGGTAATCACATGTCTTCATCTAGAAATAGTTCTACAGCTGGACTATCAATCAAATCAAAAAATAATGTCAAAAAAAAGCTTCCTGCAAAAAGTAACTCTGAGTGTGGCTTCCCGGAAAAGGCAGTACCACCAAAAGAACTTGGCTGTGCCGTTCAACTGGAAGAGCAAACGAAGACTCTTGTTCAGACCCCTACTGAGAACACGGCTGGTCAGCAGCAGCTCAGAGAGGCTTCCTCCGTGTCACTCCCCAAGATTCCTTGCCTGTCTTCCTTTAAAATCCATATGCCACGTGCTTTAACGTTTGCAGAGTTGGTAGAGGATTATGAACACTATATTAAAGAGGGGTTTGAGAAACCTGTGGAAATCATTAGACACTACACAGGTCCCGGGGATCAAGCTGTGAATCCTCAGAATGGCTTTGTGAGAGAGAGGATTACTGAGGAGAGGGTGCAGATACTGGCAAGTAGTAGCCAGTCTGGAGACTCTGAGAGTGACAGTGATTCTTCCAGCTCCCGGACTTCTAACCAGAGCAAAGGAAATAAATTGTACTTGGAAGGCTCTTCTGAAGTTCAGCCGAAAGAGATTGAGTCCATTCCTGTGGATGGCCGTATCTCTCTGGAACAACATATGGGTGGAAGTGATACCCCTAATCTAGTAGAATATCAGGAGTCACCTGAAATCCAAGTGAAGACTAGGCATAAAGAGGGAGTTAACCCGAGAGGGAAGCAGAGCCGGAGAAACCTTCCTAGGCGGTCTTCCCATCGACTGCAGACAGAATCCCAGGAGGATGGCTGGTACGATGGCCACAGGGACACATATCTGGACTCTACTGACGCTTATCAGGATTATGAGGAGTACTGGAGAGCTTACTACAGAGCATGGCAGGAATACTATGCTGCTGCTTCTCAGTCATACTATTGGAATGCTCAGAGGCATCCAAGTTGGATGGCAGCCTATCACATGAATACAGTTTATCTACAAGAAATGATGCGTGGCAACCAGTGATGACAGAATATACCTCAGGCCACCGGGAGATTTCATCTAGAGCCTTCCTCTGTTGACCCACAGCAGAGTGGCATAGAGTCGCGTTTCTGAGCTTAACACATTGAAACTTTCTGGGACACATCTATTTTTCTGTTTTGATTTAGGTCAAGTATGTTCTTTTTTTAAAAAAATTTCATGGACCAGATTCTTGAAAGAATTTTGGAACATACAGGTTAAAGGATACAGGGTGCCATTCCAAAAGGAAACATTGAAAAAAGACACAAACTACTGCTTACTTAAAAAATAAAATAATTGAAATTTGAAAATCAAAGTTATTTTGTGCTCTGGAGTTCTTTACAGAAGGCTTGGCATGTATTTTCATAGGGATGTGTTTGTATACACATCTCTAGCATTCTAGAACAGAAAATCCTTGCGGATTAGGCAGAAATAAACCTTTCCTAAGGTATTTGACTTAATATTTTCTTCCAGTAAAAGTACAAACTTCTAATGACCTGACCTATTTATTACTCAGTTTTGAATGTCTTGTTATTGAGAATGTTAAAGCTCTCTTGGTTTTCCTCATACTAAATATATTGCTAAGGCTCATCAGTGGCTTTCTTACTTTCCTAGTAGGGAGAACAGCTTTTTATCTTTGTGGCCCTTTAGCTCTTTTATGAATGATTAAAGCTATAGACTTATTCCAGAAAATTTTTCATTCCATAGACAAATGAAACCCATGTTAACTGTCCCATTCTTCTGGTAAGCTAAGGGCAGGATCTAGATTTTTGAAGTATTCTGTAGATGCTAGAATTCTGTTCACAATTTCCCAGTGTGACCTAATCTTGTATCTTCTAGCAAATTCCATCCCACGTCCTCCAGTTTTTATCTCTAGACTGTTGGGAACAGTCATTTGAGTGGTGCATGTGTACATTAGGACTTGAAAAAAATATCATTGGAAGTGACATACTTCTTTGGTAGTAATGATTGCTTTTCAGCCCTTTCTATGACTTGAATTTGTAGTGAGAATAAATCCTGTGTATAGTGCATGTGTTTACTTTTTGAATGGAAAACTGTTTTCTGTTATGTACTTGTCTAGGCAGTACAGTTTTTCTTTGGGGCTATGACTACTCACTACTGTCAGCGTTCAATTGCCTTTTATTGTTGGACAGGCAAACGGTAGCCATTTTAAACTTCTAACTTGGATTCTGGACATTGGAGTTGGCATTGTAGACTTGACTTAATGTATCAGATACATATATTGCCAAGTTAGAATGAATTAACAATACAGCAAATTCATAATTAGGTCTAGCATGCCATTAAGGAGTAGACTTTAAATTATGCATTACATTGTCATTATCATATAGTTTGTCTAACTTTCCCCCTACACTACAGACAAATTCACAGTTTGTCATGGATAGGGATTATAATTAGGATATTGCTACAGTCCACATTTTAATTAGGATATTACCTATTAGTCTTGAAGTTAGTTGGATGTTTTTAAGGTTTTAGTAGTAGAAGGATGTTTAGTTACTAATTTCATCTTTTTGGTAGTCAGGAATATTTGACTTTTTTGGGGGGGTGGTGTGCCATGGTTTACAAACTTATTAGTAAAGTTTCATACATGAACTGTTCCAGCACCACACCTCACCCGGGCATGTAGCTGTTCCTTGCTGCCTTCTGAAACTGTCTCAGTGTCCCTAGCTTCCTGCTAAAGACAGTTCTCAGCCTAAGTCACCTTGGGCCATGTTACTCCTCTAAATCTGTTCCTTTTGTTTTGGAGCCACACCCACAGATGCTCAGGACTTCAGTTCTTCGGTTCTTTGCTCAGGGAAGAACCTGTCAGGTTTGGGGGACTATATGGGGTACTGGGATCGAACCCAGATCAGCCACATATAAGGCAAGAGCCTGCCAGTGAGTGAGGGTCTGTTCCCCACATCCCTACCAGCACTGGTTAGTGACACGTATGCCATTCTCACTGGTGGGATGTCTGTGATACCTTTGATTTGCATTTCATTGATGTTAAGTGATGCTGAGCATTTCTTCATATACCTTTTGGCCATCTTTACGTAAACACCTTTTTAAATAGAAAGTAAGAAGGTATATATATAACATACTTGCTTCATTTTGTATAAGCATCTGCTGTTTCCTTCCCAAATGAGGTCATTAAGAATGGTTTTGGAAGAAATATGCCTTCTGGCTGCGTGGAAGACAGTTTGAAAATCAGTCTAGGTGCATCATCCCATCATCCGAGGGACCACCGGTAGGTTTTAGGGTAATCGGCTCAAGGATGTCTGGGTGTAAGAAAGAGACAGTGCCACTAAACTTTTTCAGCCTACCAGTCAATTACTCTCTATTTTCTTAGCACTAAAACTCAGTATGAGGCTGTTCTCTTGGCAGTGACTGTTTTATACTTCTCACCACACTTACATCCCACTTAGCTAGTCTCTACCAGCAAAGACCTGTTTCTGTGTATTGTTACTCTGCACACACAGTTTCTGGTTTCCAGGTGCTTTTTTTGGGCCAGATTATTAAAACTATGATTGTAGTGACACCTAGTGGGCAATAGGGAGATGAACGTCTGTGATTGAGATGAATTTCGCAGCCAACTTGAAAGGCCTTTGGCATCGTGTATCTGCCCTAATGTTATCCTTTGCTGTATTTTTCATGGACTGGGATTTGTGGTTGTGGGTAAAGGAAAAGATTTTAAATCACTGTCACATAATGGTGAAATGTGAACGTGCCTGTTGCTTTCTTCCCCTAAGAATTGTTCAGGGTGGAGTGGATTTCTTCTCTGCTTCCCTCGTGGGTTCACTCCTTTTTATACCTAGTCTTCACTTGGATTTCAGGTGACTCCTGATATTCTACTAGATTAGGGGTATCACTTCCGTCCACATGTTGTTCCAGAGAGACGGCCATCCACAGGAATGGACTCAGTCTCTTTCGGCTGAACTTCAGAAGAGCTTCCCTCCCTCCCTCCCTCCCTCCCTCCCTCCCTCCCTCCCTCCCTCCCTCCCTCCCACCTTTCTTTCTTTCTTTCTTTCTTTCTTTCTTTCTTTCTTTCTTTCTTTCTTTCTTTCTTTCTTTCTTTCTTTCTCTTTTCTCTGTCCCCTCCCTTCCTCCTTCCCTCCCTCCCTCCCTTCCTCTGTTTCCTTCCTCCCTCCCTCCCTCCCTCCCTCCCTCCCTCCCTTCCTTCCTTCCTTCCTTCCTTTCCTTCCTTTTCTTTCCACCTCTCTCTTTTCTTTCCATGTCACTCCTCCCTCCCCTTCTTTCTTTTCCTCTTTTTTTTCTAACTCTCCAACTCCTATCCTGCCATTTTAAAGATGAAACAAGCCAAGAGAAAAGCTGCTGATGTGAAGTTACACAAGTGAGAGAACCTAAATTGGAGCCTCCACCACCTGATTTCTAAACTTTCTGTTCTAACCTGTATAAAACTCTCATTTTTTTGGTTTTGTTTTTAGGAAGTGTATGTTGGGGCACATCCTGTGGCACATTAGGGGTTTTATATGGCTTGGTGCTCAGGTGTGAACTTCGGTGGCATTCTCGGGCCTGTTATGTGGTGCTGGGGATGGAACTCAGCTTGGCTACAATGCAAGCAAAGCCTTTTTTAACTCCTATATTATTTTTGCAGCCCCAGAGTTTAAGCCTGAGTTCTAAAAAAGTGACAGATCTTAGTTTATAAAGGAAAGTTGATTCAATGATGTTTTGTAGAACTAGTTCTGATAAAGACATTTTCAATAATACAAGGCGTAAGCCTCAACATAGAACTGTTGGCAGTTAAATGTTTGCCCCGGTAGTGACCATCCATGACTTGAGTTTACAAGCAGTTTAAGATCGTCAGGCATGGTGTAGGGGGCTTGCTCATGTGGAGGGACGGTGGGGCAGGGGAGTGTAAAAGGAACTTGATGTCTCCTGAGATTCTTTGACTTTCCCACCACAGATAGCCTTTGTTCAGCATAGAGGACAGGAGAAGTGGTATGAAACAATCTGCTTGGGTTTGTGGCACATTGTTTAATCCAGATTGGATACATCAGATACAGCAGTGGCACATGACTCAATACCGTAAATGATATACATGTTTAACATATGCAGTACAGTTTCAAAAAAAGATGACTGGAAACTCAAGAGTTGTTTGTTTTTCCACAGAAAGTTTTCACATGTTTTTCTTCCTGCAGTCTTGTACAGTTTTTCTTTGCCATTGTGATGTTGGTAAGCAAAGCCCATTTATTATACGAAAATAGAAAAGAACACACTTGATGTTTTTTTTTCACAATAACATTAATGGGGGGTGACCTCTAAGGAAAACATTACATTGGAATGTCAGGGTATCAAAAATAGACCATCCCTCCCACCTCCCAGGTTTGTAAAATAGTCCATTGGTCCAAGGAGCCCCCTAGGACGTGAGTCTCTGTGCCTACACTGGTTCAAGTGACATCCAGTGTAGTTGAGTAACCTGCCAAAATAAGTGTCTTTCCCACAACTTGGGGAAAAAAGCAACATTCTGAATAGAAAAGAAGACTCAAAAGGAACCCTTTTAAAGCTGTTTCTCTTCATCACAGCCACATTCTCTCTGCTCTAACGATGAGCTCATGATTGCCTTTTGGGCTCCAAGGGTCACGGGTCCTCAATTATGTTTTTCCATCAGTCTTTGTAAAGCTTTTCAACTGATGAGATTTCATAAGCAAATTCAAAAAGGGAAAAGAATCCTTGCAGATTTCTGTTTGTCATGGTTACCACGCTAGTTTAGAAGAAAAACTACTGCTGCCTTAGATGAACTGCATTGGAGTCTTTCTGCTATGTTGTTACCTGGTTAATTGAGGGTGCTTGGGCCACTAATAACCTTAAGATCTAGGTTTGACTCAATTTCAACCACTACCTATGCAAAGTTTTTTTTAAAGGCAAGGAAAAAAATCTAGGTACATACTGTTTCAGTGTATTCCTTCCCTGCCTATATTCTAACAAGTTAAGTGACATGATCCTGACAGCAGGAATAACACTCTGAAAATTGGATAAAGGCCTCAGCATAACTACAAGTTGACTCTTTTAATCCTGGATCAGCCTTTACTGTTTAATTTCAATTTCTTTGTCTTAATGTTACTTTCCTACTTGCTGACCTCAAACTCCCCCATAATTGTAGACTAGTGTTTATTGTTGAGAACTGCCTGGCTTGTTGTTTTTATCTGATTTTTAGGCCATACCCGGTGGTGCTCAGAGCTTACTCCTGGCTCTGCTTAGGGGACCTGAACTAGGGTGTTCAGTTTGCAAGGCAAATGTCTTAATCTCTCTAGCCTGAACATCTCGGTATTAAGAACAGAGTTCTATGCAGTTAGTCCT